GCCGTCAGTGATAAACATCCCTGACGGTGTGCCCGTCATGGATGTGATGTACACCCCCGACGGGGTGGCGATTAGCGATATTTTCACATCCCTGACGGTGGGCGCCTTCAGGTAAGATGCCGTCAGTAATGATTATTACTGACGACAGCCCATCAACGATGTTTCTTTCCTGATGGGACTTTTACTACCGGCATATCCTTGACGAGAAGCTGTTAAGGATACGTATTCATGATGAGAAATTTGGCATCCCTGACGAGAAAGCCCATCAAGGATGTTCATTTTTCTACTAGTGACAACTTTCAAGTTGGATGAGCATATTTAAGAGAACTTATAGATTTGGTAGACTTACTTAAAGAATAATTGTAGGTTTAGAGGACTTATTTAAAAAATTAGCACTATGTGATCATTATAAGGAAAATCTTCAATTACGATAACTAGACAATAATAATTAATTCATACATTTTTTTAAGCAATCTTATTATACAATTTTATTTATTAAAACATAAGTTTAATATTCAATAAAAAAATTTAAACTAAAAAACATGTATGTTTACGTGCAAAGCATATGCATTATACTAGTAATAATAAACAATTGATACCGCATTCTCAAAGGATCAAATATTGTGTCACAGTTTTGGTACTCCGCTCCTCAATCTAACGTCCAGCTTTTTAAATCACATCGCATTTCTTTATTTATTAGTAAATTAATTTTGCCGTTTAACTGGGGATAAAATTGTGTAAAGATTATATGAAATGCACTTTTTTTAAGAGATTGCAAATAATTATAATGTATGAGACTAACGTTAATGTGCAGTTTAATGCTATTAAGTAAAAATTCTAGACAACTAATAACACCTTAGATTAAAATTCAAATTCTAATCATTAATGAATAACATCCTAAATTAAAAAATCCAGCAAAATATCCCAATCCGAATCAGTAGTTCTCAACCAATAAACCCCCATAAACTTTAGAATGGCAAATATTTTCACACTTAACTATCCAAGTAGGCGAGTGCAGAAAAATCCGTTAAATTTATAAATCTCGTGTTTGATAAAATTGGTTTTCAATTTAGGCCTCAAAAAGTTTGGCATGGTCTTAATTTGGCTTCTTTTTGTGCGAGTGAAGGAAATTTATCGAAAGAATATAATCCTTTTTTTTAGCGAGCATCAATTACGTCTTTTGATTCGCACTAATTTCTCTTATATTACATCTCTTTACTATATATATATCCCTCTCAATGCTCTCGTTCTCTGAAGTGCCCACTCGGTAGAAAAAAATCCATTCAAAGTATTGAAATGAAGCTTAGCTCAATATTAATCATCATTAATTAATTAAAAATAAATAAATGCATATTGCAAGTGCTTATATTGATATCTGATATCTAACTTTCATAAATTGATTGATGGATGCATGCATCTAACATGATACAATGCTTAGTTATATCAAAGTTGGGTAAGAGGCGTGCGAGCTAGATTTGCCTCATTTTAGGCATAACAGACGATTGACTCGTGGATCCCAAATTCTTTTTACAGTTGGCTACATCTTTTGAGATTAATTGAAACAAATAAAAAAAATAATTTAAACGAGCCTGACGCTACTTAAATTATCCTTTTTATTTTCTTAGTTATATATGGCAAAATTAGCGTTAAACATCATTTTACGAGGCTCATCAGACATGTGCCCGGCCCATTAGACGCAATAGGCCCCTGAGTTATTACAGCCCACCGAAAACTCCTCCCCCTTGTCTCGCTCCGATTCCTTCCCTTTCAAAATATCACTTTCATCGCCCAATTATTATCATCGCTTGAAATTCTTCAACTTCATCGATCCGTTCTCTGGATCGTCCATCAATCTCAACTCGATTCGATTCGACAATGGCGACGGCGTCTTCAGCGTCGAGCAAGATCGAGAGAGCTCATCAGCTGTACCGCGAAGGGAATCACGGCGATGCGCTCGATCTCTACACCGAAGCCCTAGCCATGGCGAAGACCAAGGCGCAGAAGATCGCCCTCCACAGCAATCGAGCTGCTTGCTATCTCAAGCTCCACGATTTCAAAATGGTTCGCCTTTTCGTTATCAAATCCATCCGGATTTTTTCATTAATTTTGTTTATCGCCAAAGATAGATTAGAATCGTGTTTAAATTTAGGTTTTTTAGCTTAAATACATGCGAAAGGTTGGAACTTTGAATTTTGCATCACATTAAGATTTAAGAGTACTTACTTTTGTTATCTAAGTTCAAATGCTCAGCTATAGACTTACGCGCTAGCCAATCTTAAGACTTGGGATTCCATGCGTTCCACAATTTGACGCTCTTCTTAGTGAATTGTTAAAAGCAAAAAAGAATTTGTCTTCTTATCTGCACTTTGTAATTCTGGGTGTAATTTACAGAAACTGTTCCGTGCTTTTAGGCAGCAAAAGAATGTACATCAGTTCTTGAGTTGGATCACCAGCACACTGGAGCGTTGATGTTGCGGGCTCAAACCCTTGTCACCCTAAAGGATTACCAGTCAGCTCTTTTTGATGTCAACAGGTTGATTGAGTTGAATCCATCATCAGATGTATATCGGAACCTGCATTCCCGATTGAAAACACAACTGGTATGCTACTGCTCTTTAATCCGGGTAATATCTCTCAAAACAGATGCTCCCGAAGGAATTATTACAACTGTTGAAATTCACTGTCATGAAGGAATTATTACAAATATTGAACTTTTAGGTCTCACATTATGTTATGTCCTCAAAATGATATAGGCAATCAAATACAACAAAAATAGTAAAAAGTCAACCAAGAAAAAAGAAACAAAAAAATAAAAAACAAAATCTAACTATATTTCAAAGGAGAATTTTAAAAAAAAGACCCTTAATGAAACTTTATTGGCAAAATCGACCTATTTCTGATATAATTAGCAAAATCGACTTCTTTTGCAAAAAGAGGTTGATTTTGCAAAAATAAAGCTTTAAAATACACGGAACTACTAGTCCCGTCTATTTAGTGGTGTCTAATTACATGCTAATGAATTTTAATTAGTCTCGTGTATTTTTCAAAGTTTAATTAGCATGTGATTAGCCAACACCAATTACACGGGACTACTAGTCCCGTGTATTTTAAAAACTACATTTTGCAAAATCGACAAAAGAGGTCGATTTTGCTAATTAGATCCACAAAAGGTGGATTTTGCTATTAAAGTTTAAAAATGATCTCTTGTTTTTTTAATTCCTATTTCAAAACAGAGGCAGACACTTTTCGCATCTTGCCTACAAGCCTTTTGTGAGTGTCTGAGGCACCAAGGTAAGCTTGTGAGGCGCCAAAAAGCGCTTGCCTTAATAACCTTGCAATATGCAATTTGCTAAGTTAAAAGATTGCCTCGCCAGACTCCTTGAGACACTACGGCGCTTCAATTTTAAAACACTGGCATACATGTATATGTAAGCATGCTACTCGCACATGCATGGAGACCATGACTCAAACCTGTGACCTGTAGATCACAAAGGAAAGGAGTAACCTTATGGTTGTGCTTATGTCTTCCTTGGGCTATGCATAACCTTTTCATACATATTTGGCCCTGCAGAAATACACTATTTTGATTTCACAGTTTTTATGGTGGTGTTGTATACGTTAAGGCCGTGTCATGTAGAAACCAAGCTTTATAATGGACACTGAAAACTTAGGTTGGTAGTGTAGGATTCAGAATCTAGAAACAAACTTCTAGGTAGAAACGTTATCCGATTATCATAGTTACGCAGTTAGCCAAAGAACTAATGTCTTTCACAAACTTATTATCACATCTATTTTTGTTAGCACTGTTTTAAAAAACCTCCGCCTAGTCCGCTTAGGCGTACGCCTAGGCCTAGGCGTCACCTAGGCCGCCTAACTAGCTCCTAGCGCCTAAGCGGTATTTAGGCTGCCCACCTGGATTTTACGAGCGTTTAGGGGAGCATTGTCTGCTTACATGGATTGCACCCTATAGGACTTCATTGTGATTTTATGTGTTGTAGCCTACATGTCCTCCAAACTCCGTTAACCTATAAGTTAACAATAATTTGAGTTTATTGTTAACCTAAACTTAACAATAACTTATAAGTTAACAGTAATTTGAGTTGAGAATGAGTTTTTCATTGTTGAGATGAACTTATAATTTGAGTTGAGAAGTATAAACATACAAAGAGCTATTAGAATTGGTAAACCAAGCAATTTAGTTAACAGTGTTGATATTTTAGTATTTATGCATCTTTGATTGGGTATATATATTTATCTTCAAGTATCACAATTAAAAAAATAAAAAAAAACGTCCAGAAACCGCTTAGGCGCCCGCCTAGGCGACTAAGCGTTGGGCGCCAAGTCTAACGCCTAGAAGCGCCCAACGTTTAATGTAACATTGTTTGTTAGAAATGGCATACAATCCACACTAGCCTCAGACAGATCCGGACTGCCAGATCTAAGGTGTTGTTATAGGGATGAGGTTCTGTCATTCCTTCTCCTCAAAAATAGGTATTTAGTCATCATTGATCATTTTGCTTTTAGATTTATCTTTTCTAAAATGCTCGAGTAACAAAGATAATATTTATATGAGTTGTTTCATTTTGCCTCCTTGTTGGCATAAATTTTGGACTTTTTTCGGTATTAACAAGTGCTCAGCAGACCAGTATATGTATAGTGCTCATAGGTGCTCATATGTGCAGTTTGCGTATTGTAGTAGTCCATAGAGATGATGTTGGGTATCAGAAAGGGGTTTAAGCTAGGATAAGAATTTCCTCTCTTTATTGGAAGTAGAACATGGATGATGTTGGATATTGGAAAGGGGTTTAAAATAAGATGGGAATTTTCTTACCCTTTATGTTTCAATAATTTGGAAGTCCTACTAGCAGAATGAGTATCTGCTAGGTCTATTGCACAAGCAAAGGTTGAATATCTTTTTTCACATAATTATTTAGTATCAAATTTAGAGATAAAGTTGTTGAAATCGATCTGTTTGTAAGTTTATTGATTGGCTTCATTCTTGTCCTACAGGCTCTAGCACCTATACCTGAATCTGATGAAGAGACACAATGTGTTGAAGAACAAGAAGAAGAACAAGGACAGGAAGAAGAACAGAAGGAAGCAAAACAAGAACAAAAAGAAGAACGAAACGAGGAGATGATTACACACAAGAAAGGAAACAGAATGGATGAACCCTCAAGTATCAATCCTAAATCTCCTACAACTCAGAATCAGAATCTAGAATCCCCACCTAATTTACATTCCAAATCCCCACCTACTGTACATTCTAAAGCCCCACCTGGTGTACATTCCAAAGCATGGGAAACAATCCCGAAACCAAAAGGGCATTCAGGTTTGGATTACTCACGATGGGACAGGGTTGAAGATGATTCAAGCGAGGAGGAAGATGATGATGATGAAGAACAGCAACCTCAGTATAGATTTCGTGTCAGAACTGTTGGCGTTCGGTCTGTTAAGTAAATAACCATCGAAGCTGAAGTTACCATTAAAGATCAGTATATTTGACATGGGAAGGTCCTAACCATGATCAAGATTGTCACTGCAAAACTCTGTTGTGTTCATGTTCAATTATCTCCTGTTCTTAACCTTCTGAACTGGGTAGGTGCACTGTTACTTCGCCTACTTATTTAAGTTCTTCAACTTTCCCTGCATTACACTTGAGATCTGGTTAATTTTGTAACTCAAATCCTATGTGTGATGCAGGGTGGTCTTGAATCAGTTTGCATTAGAGTTCAGGAGCGCTGTCGTATTTAGCGCATTAATTTATGAGATGGGGTTATTCTTCGCTTGGTGAACTGTATCAGAGATTCGTAGTTGAGATTTCACCTATAGCGTCATATTGCTCCTCAAAAGAGCTCGATCTCTACTAATTAGAAGACAAAATCAGAAGGCTCAAGTGGGGAGTTATCAACTGAAACCTATGGCAAATCACTGGACATATCGGCTGCTACCACCATAATTTCTGTATACTGATCATGTATATTTTTGCTTTTCTAATCCCTCAGGGCCATAGTTAATCACAATCCATGTAGGTTTTGTTATGTTAATTTATATTCAACCCATTGGTTATTTAATCTTGAGGTTCTGGCTTGTTGTAGATCATATTGGTTCTACTTCTAATTCATTATCTCTGGATAGAATTATAATATGGCAGTGACAACTTGTTGAAAGTTGGAATTCATATATTTAACCAAAATGAGTTGGAAGCTTTGGTGTACTATCAAGCAAAGTTACCCTAAATATATAACCTTACTTCTTTTTAGGTGCGTGTTGCATAGAATATTGATGGGTGTTGTGTTGACCTGACCATTAATTTCTTCAGCTTGGATGGCTATTATCCTGATGTACACCCTATTTCTTGATGGAGATTTTGTTTATAATTTGTCAATAATGTTAAAAATATGATCACAGTTCATGTTTCAATTGTTTAAAATAATAATGATAATAACTTGAGCCAAACATTGTGTTCCAGTTATAGCTGAAGCAAAAAAAAAGTTAATAAGCTAAAGATATTATGATGCAAATGACCATCTTATTGTTGGATTGATAACCTTTACTTTCTAAAATAGAAGAAGATTGGGATCTATGCACAATGGAAACTTGTTGAGCATTTCAGTGCTTTTGAGCTATCCTTGTTTCAAATACAAATTTCTGAGCACGGAAGGAGATTAGAGTGCAAGTTGTTGACGCTAACTTTAAGCAATTTCTGGTGTAAATTTTTTGGACAAAAACCTAATCTTATTACCTCAATCTGTTTACACAAATGACATGTATCTATTGACATAATCTATCTAATACAAACTACATTCATGGACTATACAAACTGTAACTTCCTATAGTATTCACCCGTTGTACTCTCTCCGAATGATTTCTGCTAAAATTTCATTCCATGTATCAACAGCCCCTGGCATACACCAATGCAAGCAATCCTGCGCCTTCGGCCCTTCCTTAGGCTTGTTCGAATCCGGGCTCCTGTAGGGACCTGGATGCCCGTCCCTCCGATAACTAAACATCTCTGTTATATCCATCATTCTCATCCTCGACCCGCCATCCTTCAACGTCATCACTGCATCCTCGAACCCCTTCATCTGCATTGCGTGCATACTCTCGCTATCGCCATCCCTCACCACCTCGCTTGCAGGCTGCACTTCTCCTCCGCATGATCCTCCCGTGTTCCAAGCCCCATCGTTATAATGGCTTGGCGAGTACGATCTCACGATCACCAAGCCTGAAAATTTTGGGTGGTTCATGATAGCATCTAAAACCGTGTCTAATGATATGATGAATGCATCCTTGCTGTTGATTTTCATCTCGCCAGCGTCTTTTGGCCACCAGTGCTCTCCTCCGACGATAGTGTTGTTGATGACATACGCAGATTTCTTGGCAAACCAGTGGCCGGAAGAGAGTACTATGATGTCTAGTGTCGGTAGGAATTCCATCAAGGTTTTGTCTGGAATGTCGAGGTGAACCTTGGGGAAGCCCTCGGGGGCGAACTCTAGGGATTCCTCGGTTGTGTCGACGAGCCATGATGACCATATCCTTGCGATGATTGTCGATGTTCGCCTGTTTTGAATATGAAATTACACGACATAAAACTAGCGGAAGTCCGAAAAACCTGATACACTAAAATAAACACACATAATTACTATTGCATACCACAAAACTCTTAAAACTAAACCAAACAACATTAGTTAGTTGCAACTTAGGACTGTTTTGTTAGCTACAATTAAAGGTGTAACAGTTGATGTTGCATGAGCTGAGACATTTTGGAATAGGAAACCGCCCGCTTGCATGCCTGAGAAGTTTCGGACTAAACATTTGGGTTCACTTGCAGCTGTCAGCTTACGCACATACGGACCAAAATTACAACTGCAATGTGAAGAGGGCTTAAAGTGCAACCCCAATTGTAATCAACCCCCCCAAAGAAATCCAATGAAACTTGATATCTAAAACAAACACCTGCACTATAACGCTAGCTACGATTTCGTTCAGTCCTAATTTTTCGCAATTACAATTACATCGAACCAAACAAGCCCTACGCGCGACGGACAATTGCATTGCAAGTGAAATTGTAATATTTCTAAAATAATATATAGGTGACAGTTGCATTGCAATTACAGTTCTAACTTGGATTGAAGCAAAATAGATAAAGTCCTCCGTCACTTGACAAACCTGAAGTACCATCTCTTCATCTTAATACTCCCATTGTGATACCCATGATTCTTGAAGTCAGTCTCCTCCTCCAACAACATGCACAGCAAAGACTGCATCTGATTCCTAGCTATAGAATCGCCAACAAAAGCCAGAGTCTTATTCCTCATCAACCTCAAGAACTGCTTCACATCGAACCTCGGCAGCTCGCACTCATCGGGCCTCCATCTCCAATCCTCATAGCCCATGTCAGGCCTGCCGTTGGCCCGGCAATTCTGACCCTCTGCAATCACAACGCAAGAGTTCGTATAGTACTTGGTTCTGTTTGGGTCATACACCCATTTGCCTTTGTAAATATCACAGGTTTTCGGAGATTTTTCGACACCTTGTTGGAAAAAAGATTGAATGGATGAAGAGATGGGTTGAAAATAGAGGAGGAGGGAGGTTATGAAGAGGAGAACGATGAAATATATTGTTATGAGAACAATGGAGGTTGTAGATCTTGCCATGATCTATGAGCTCAAGAAGTTTTTATTTATTTGAGTTTTTTGGAGTTTGAAGATGATTGCGTGGTTTTGGGCAGGCTATAAAGGCTCTTAGCCTAACACTTGGGGGTTGAGAGTTTTGATTTGATTTCTGATGACAAGGGGAAATTCTTTATGTTTCCTCTAAAAAAATAAAAAATTAAATTAAATTAAATTAAAAAGGTTTTCTTTTGGAATTCCACCTTGAAATCTTCCTACTTTATTTCCTCAATAAATGGATTTTAATACATCCCCTGAAAAATATTTAATTGTTTCCAACAATTCCTAATTAAGTTTGTGATAAGGATATTCAATTTTATTTCAAATGTATCTACATCTTACGAAGATTACATCTATGTAATGGAGTATATCCATAGATTCCCTCCCATTAAATTGATACTAAACTTTGTTAAGAAGACAAGAATAACAATTATATAATGTAACTCTCAATAATTACAATTTAATAAGGTTTTCTTTGGAGATGCCTCTTTGAAATCTTCCTCTTTTTTTCCCCTCCAAGCTTTGTATTTTAATACAACCCGTCAAAATATTAATTATTTTTAAAAATTACTAATCAAGTTTGTGACAAGGATATTCACATATTATTACTTTGAATGCATCTAACCCTTTTGAAAATTACATCAGGGTTCTGAAAATGCCTTTCGTTCGAATTGATATAAAAGTTTAATATAATTTAATAACTCTAATTTATAAAAAAGTCATTCAAATTATAATTGAAATTCTCAATAATAACTATCATGAATACCCAACCTTGAAGGAGAAATTGAATAGCCACGGAAGAATTTTATGATCATCTACGGGGAAAAAACATGAAAAAAGAATAAATTGGAACAAAATCAAGAAAAAAATGATACTGTTACTTTCATTTTTAAGTCCATGTCTCATCAGGAAAAAAATGGAGAAAGTAAATAGAAAGCTTTAATTTTAAGGATGTAATATCCAATAAAAGATGCATTAGGGGGTATTATACAAAATAACTTCAGCTAACCGCATAGCTTCGTCTCTACGCCACCAAGCGCAGCTATAACAACTCATCCTCCTCTTTTCACAAATAAACCGAAACCCAGGGTCCTATCTGCAAAAAACCTCCACATCGAAATCGGAAACTATTCTATGAAGAAATTTTCAAAAAAGACCAAATTCATAATTTTTTTAAAAACCAACCCAGTCTCATTTTTATTACAAAAATCGATCCACTTTTTTGCACGTCAGCATCGTGATCAGAAACTGTGTCGTTTAAAAAAAAATTAAGTTCCTAATTAGTTGAGATTGACAACTCCGACAAATTAGGACCACTCTTCCCCTCTCTTAAAGACTTTGCGCGATTAGCAGAGCTAAATAAGTCGGGGTTACAAAACCCAACTATTTTGGATGGGGTTTTCAACCCCGATCATTTAGTGAACAAGTTCTGTGCCCTCACAAAATAGTCAGGTTCCCAACCCCGGTTATTTGACAGAGATCCCCTCGCTCGAAAAGGGAGAATCAGCTAAAGTCACCAACTGATTGGGTGGTGACGTGGTAAAAAACTAGGTCAATTTTTATAATAAAAATAAGACTGCATCGATATTTGGAAAAAAATAATGAATTGAGTCTTTTCTGAAAATTTCTTCATTCTAAATTCTCTCTTCTTCTCTTCAAGAAATTTCCCAATAGAAAACCCTAGGTTTCTTCTAGGGTTTTATCAAAAGAAAATAATGGATCCAGAGCAAACTTTCCTTCGAGTTCACGCTCGGCTCTCTGGAATGCTCTCTCAGCTGCTCACTCCACGGATTCGATTGGTGCTCGAGTACGTGTATCTCGCCGTCGCAGTCGCCGCTCTCCATTTTTTTTTATTTTTTGAGATTTATTTTGCGGGAATTTTGAGAAATTTCCATGAAAGTTCGGGGTTTTACGTGAATTTGTTGAATTTCTTGATGTTTATTCTAATTGGAATCGTAATTTATTTTGCATGTGAAGCCTGGTTGTTCTAGCGAGCTTTCGGGGATTAATTTCACTGAAGCTCAACTGTTCCAGATCAAGGTACGCTGATTTTCTCCGTTGTTGACATATTCAATATATTCTAATCCTTTTCATGATATAAATTCTAGGTGTTTTGAAATGAAATGATAACCTAAGTTCTATTATATTAAACCAAAGTGTTATGTTTCCCTTAAAACATTACATATGTTATACTCCCTTTTGGAGCTTGTTATTACCTGTTCTTGTTAAAGTTTGAAAGAGCGCGTGCACGCACGCACACACAGTTTGATTGATTTTTCTAGTTCATTTCGAATTCTATTGGTGTTAAACTACATGGGAAGGTTCTTGGTGCCCAGAAAATTAAAGTTTAAACAAACTGGCGTTTCTAGGGAGGAATTATGCTAACACTTTGTAGTTCATCATTCTTGGAAATAGTGATACGTTTTCTGGGTCGCTATATGCAATGCAAAAAATGTGCTAATTTCAAAATTTTATGACTAACAAAGAAGGCAACCTATGTCCATTTTAGGTCTAGTCCTCATTTCTTAATCAGTTTTCCTTCATTTTGCCCTTGAACAAAACTGCTGCTACCTTCTTCCAGTGCACTCAGTTTAGATATACTGATCTTGGAGCACAAATAGTCATTTGGACATCCGTTGCAATTTTATGTTCAACTCCATAGGTATTATATGGTTACATGCATTACGGTAATATTTTGCCAGTTCATAATCCTGTATTCTTCAAAGAAAAATTGTAGCCCTAGTCTTATCCACTAATACAGTATCATTGAGAAAGAAACATGTATGGCCTGCATCCTAAATGTGCATGACATGTTCTTCCCTAATTAGTTCTAAGTGAGGAGTTAGTGTTACTTAGTCATTCAAGCCTGTTATGAATCTTATGATAGATAATTAAATTTTGCCCCTTCCAATTGTTAGTGTGCCAGTTGCTACTCCATCGTGAACATTCTTAGTAACATTATTATGACAAGTTGGCATTTGTTTCTTTTCTGTAATCTATTATGTAATTTCCCTGAGTTCCTATTGTAAGAGAAGCTTATAAGTATTATAGTAAAAATTGCCAAGTCAGTTCTGTCCTTGTTGGTTGTGACAGGAATAAATATGAATCTCATAAATTCTTACAGATAACAAGTGGTGAGCTTTGGGCTAGGATTTCAGCTGAGCAGAATATGGCGAATTCTCAGAAGCAGGAAAGTCCAATTGAGAATACCAAAACTCCTGATGTACATGGAGATGGGTTTACATTTTTTTCAACCAACTTTTGGTCACATTGGATAGGTTCAGGTGCTAGAAGAAGCAAATTGATTTTTAAATCTTGGAGAAGTGATAAAGAGTTTCTTGAACGTCAAGTAGAAAAGGGTGCTGATAACGCTATGTCTAGTTCAGAGGAAGTAGCTTCAAAATCTGAAACAGAGGAACCGCGAAAGGGGCGTTCAGTGACTGCCAGGGAAGCACTCAAAGCAGCACTCTTTCACTTCTGCAGTGAATTCAATATTTATGTTTCTTATTACTGGAGAATTGCAAGACAAATTTTAGGCCACGGCAATCGAACTCCGGTGAGAATCTTGAGAAAGACGCTTCTTTATTACTTATTTTCCTCATGATGCATTTTTTCTGTATGAAACTGTGAACATAATAAGTATTTCAGAATAATATTAGTATAAAGTTTAGCTATAAAAAAAGGATCCCAATGAACTTCATGAGAAAAAAAATCTAAATGGTATTTTTGCATGAAGTTCATTGGAATCCGTTTGAGACTGGTTATTATTTTTGCATCTCCTGGCATTGCTCAACTTCTGGCTTCACTTAATTTTGCGACCATACACCTGAGCTGGTACGTTTGGCTTTGTATAGTTGTGTGTTACAAGATAATATATGTTTCTATCCTGAGAACCAAAGTTTGAATTACAGAACTCTGCAGGGTGGTATGTTCCAAAGCTTTCAGAGTTGTTTCACATCGAACATCTGAACTCTTTACTGGTTGACTTAAATGGCAGAGTCCCTCTTCATTCTATTATCTGGTTATATGTAGTATGTGTACTTACTGCTTAATAGTGGAAATAGCATGATTTTGTGAAGAGAAAAATATGCAACATTATACATATGAAATGCACTGCATATCCTTATTTTGACTAAGTTTCTGCACCTACTACAGTGCAGTGGCTTGAAAGGAGAAGCAAAGCATTTGAACCGACTTATTTGTACACTTCTGAGAAGGTAATTCTGAATTTCCTTTTTTATCTCTGTTTCCTTTCCTAAGCAAACAATGTCTGGAAAGACAGGAGTGATGAAAAATCTGCAAATAAATTTCTTTCGCCACTGTTCTTGATGAATATTCATACTCATTTAATCTGCATAAGTGCATATACATGAGGAAAGCTGTCAGGAATGAAGCTGAGTTGTTTGACCTGTCTCTGTGACGGTTGGTTACTGAGCATTTATGAGATGTCTCCTATCTTTCAGGGATATTTCTTGCTTCCTGAAGTGGCTAAAACTCAGCACAACATCAGAACTGTTAATGTTACAATGTCCGCTGAAAATTCCTGCTTTGGAAACAGGTTTATATCAAGTTTTTCCACTTATTCTACCTTGCTTACTTCATAGGTTATGAATGCTTGAGCAGTAGTTGAGATGTTACTGAATTTTTTTCATCTTGGGATTGTTCGTTTTTGTCATTGTACTATTGCATATAGAAAGAATCTAAATGTGATTGCCTTCATGTCCGTTTACGCATCCATCACAATGTCTGATCACACATCCATTGCAGCAGCCAGAAGTTGTTCCCAGATTTTTATGTTGCTTACATGATCCTTTTGTTTCTATTAAGTGATATCTTCTCAGTTATATATTAAATATCCTTTTTCTACTGCCTCACTCCATAATATTTTAGTTATATCTCATTTGCTTGGTACTTCGTCGACTATGATCTTGTCAGCCTCTCTGCATTTTATAATCTCTATAGCATATCTTCTAGCTCTTCAATCAATTCTTTTTATTTCACCTAAGCCGTAGCTATCTCTAACGTCTTACTGACGTACTCATTACTCGTTGTTATTCTACTTTTTAATGGTTTACCGCTTATCCATCGCAAAAATTTTGGTCGCTCTAATTTTTCTTTGGGCATATTGTCTCCTAATTGCTTGGTTTGGTATTCTAATCCATAAGGCATGGCTCGTCGTGTTTCTCACAAAATTTTGCCTTCAATCATGGACTTTTCATGAACACATAATAAGTAAAGAATTTTCCACAAACCATTCTTTTCAGATTTTGTGAGCAATGTCCTCCTATCTTACAATCATGATAGATGATTTATAGAAATAGTTAATGATTGCACCTATGTATCGATTGACCATGGATGTGCACAATAGTGTCTGGTGGTGGTGGTGGTGGTGGTCTATGAAGCACCGACTCTTGCAAACATCCCCCGCGTCCGTGTCCGACGCTTGTCGGAGACGGACACGCGTTCGACACTCGTTCGACACGCGTTCGACACTCGTTCGACACGCGTCGGACACGTCGTCAAAGGCACCGACACGGTCAACGCCGCCGACTCGCGGCGGACAAGCCCTCGACACGTTCATTTCGCTCCCGACACGACTGAGAGGTAAGGAAAAAAGAAAAACTGTAAACCCGAAACCCAAACCCTAACCCTAGTTTTAACTTACCCGATCGGCTCTTCAGCTCTATCTTCGATCGTGACTGAGAAGCAAACGCCGCCATCTTTGTCGATCGTCCTCGTCGGTTACCAGCTTCGATCGTCCTTGTCGGCTACCAGCTTCGAGCGTCCTCGTCGGCTACAAGCCTCGATTGTCCTCGTCGTCCTCATCGTCCTCTCAACAACCCAAACCCTAACGGTTAGTCTCTCTCTGATCTCTCGATCTCTCTCAGTCTCTCTCTCCTATCTCTCTCTCAGTCGCTCAATCGATCTATCTATCTCTCCGTCGTCTCCGATCACTCCCTCTTTCTCTCCCTTTCTACTTCGATGCTCTCTCTCTCTCTCTCTTTTCGATATCCGACCCCTCTCTCTGTCTCTGTTTTTATCTCCCCCTTTCTCTCTCCGATTTTATTGTGAACTCTCTGCTTTGTTTTTATCTCCCCCTTTCTCTCTCCGATTTTATTGTGAACTCTGCTTTGTTTTTATCTCCCCCTTTCTCTCTCCGATTTTATTGACAAAAAAGTGAGTGAAACAATATTTCGCTGTTTGTTTTTATCTCTCTGATTTAATTTACCTAGTCACTGTTAAATTATAGTCAATGTTAATGTTCATTACTATTTTACAGTCAATTTTAATGTTAATTGCTATTTAATTTACCTAGTCATGAACTTGGAGAAATGGAATAATTGCTATTTTAATTTACAGTTAATTAATTACAGTCAATGTACAGTTAATTTATAGTTAATTAATTACAGTCAATGAACTTGGAGAAATGGAATAATTGCTATTTTAATTTACCTAGTTAATGTTAATTTAATTTACCTAGTTAATGTTAATTTCAATAAGCATAATTTCTAGCCAATGTTACATAATAATACAACATAAAAATTGATCTATTTTTCTATATGTTCATTTTTTCTTTCTTGTCTTCTTTAACATTATTGTCTTCAATTCTCCAAGAGATCATTGTCAACCCGACGTCTTAATTCACACCTGCAACACACACTTTCCATTAGTTTCTTATTTATAATCTCCACTTTACTAATTCACACCTGCAACACACACTTTCCATTAGTTTCTTATTTATAATCTCCACTTTACATAACAAAAAATATGAAAATGTAATAGGAATTTAATTCACACTTTACATAACAAAAAATATGAAAATGTAATAGGAATTTAATTCAATATTGATCTATATATAATAATATTATTAAAAAAATCTAAACGTGTCGCCGTGTCCTATTTTTTTGGGTTTTGCCATGTCTGTGTCGTGTTCGTGTCGCCGTGTCCGTGTCCGTGCTTCATAGGTGGTGGTTGGGGGTTTGGGGGGTTGCGCATTGGCCAGTTTTCTTTGTAGATAAGTACCATATTTTGTTAATGCATGTCATTGTAATTTACCATACGCTTTACAATTACAAACATTAAATAAGCATTATATCTTTACAGGTGGCAAAAACTTCTCATCAACAGTCTTGTCGGATATGATACAATCCTTATGAATACTTTATTGAGTTATCCTGGTCAAGGTGAGGGCCTGGATTTAGTGATTCATCATCATCTTTTTTTTTGTTATTACCATTTTTAATGCAAGATGTGGATAGAAATTAAGATTATCGTAATGTTACTTGTGTTGCCTAATAATTAATGTGAATACTGTCCTGTGGTTGATTAGTGTTTTGTATGTAAAACAAAGTTAACAAATGAGATCATCTTAGCTAATTTAAGTGGCCCATTGTTCTCAAAATATCCTATATTTTTCTTTTCAGATGCTACCTCAAATAAGTTAGTCTACATATGTTTGATCTTATTAAACATATAAGTGGAACAACCATATATATCAAAAGGCTTCTTTGTTAGAACTGAAATGGTGCCTGCTCCTAACATTTTGACTTGCTCTGCCTAACAGTTTTTAAATTTATTGATCTGTAATGTTCGCCTTTCAAATTTACATGCAAACCTCCATATTGTGGTGCCTGCTCCTGAGATGGCAACTTACAGGCTCATGGTTGGAAAACTTGTCAGAGTTACTAAAGTTGTTAATTCTTTCATTTCATTTTCTTCTAAATCTTAAATAAACATGATCCTGGTAAAGAACAGATTTGAGTCGTTTTGAACTTCGAAAAATAAGAATAAGTGTCAAGAACAACTGTGGTTTTCTTAGATCATCAACTGATTTCATTTCCAGCTCTTGGATAACTTTGCTGCAGGTGCATCTTTGTTCTTGCTCACGTTTTGTTAATTCCTATCGAAAGGATTTTACATCACTTCCCTCATAGAGATCCAGTTTTATGCCTTCTTTTGTACTCTATAGTCTATACCCTGCTAATAATGCAATCATTAAGCTTCTTGTTTGCAACATGGTGTATGCTAGTTGTGTTTCTATACCCTGCTAATAATGCAATCATTAAGCTTCTTGTTTGCAACATGGTGTATGCTAGTTGTGTTTGCACTCTGATTGGTATCTGTAATATTTTTTAAGCTTCTTGTTTGCAACATGGTGTATGCTAGTTGTGTTTGCACTCTGATTGGTATCTGTAATATTTTCCCAGGTTATCTTTATAACTACCAGACAAAGGAGTTCTATGATCTTAGCTATGGTCATGAATCAACAGGCCCTTCCCGTTTTGGAGGTGATGCATGCTTTTCTTTTTCAGGATTTTCCTATCTTACATCCATACGATAAACTACATATGGAGCATTTGTAGGGCAAAGCTTAGCTTGTTGGACAAATATCTTTCTGTGGACACTATATGAGTAACAAATAATTATCTGCTGCAGACTACTGATAGTAGCAAGTCCGACGTTGCAGTCTAAATTTACATGCACTTTATAAAATGTTAGTTTTGTGATTTTGAATTTAGATTACAAGGCATCAATCATGACAAAATCAATTAGCAAAAAATTATAATAAAGCTTCTTGTTTATTTCAGTCATCTTTAATGCAAAAAAATTCATTTTATTTAACATCTAAGTTTGTCTCTTGCAGATTATTTTGTGACCAAATGCGGTGTCCTGATAATGTCATTATTTGTTTTCTTTACTACAACCATGTCAGTATCCTTTACTCTGAGGGAAACACAATCCCGCATGCTTAGGTTCACAGGTTTGCGTGACTTGTTCTGCTTACTCTGTGTTCTTGTGGATGACAGCTTATTTTGATACCTGGTTACTTTCTTTCATCTATCTGACTTGGGTCCTTGCTCTGATTGCTTGCAGTGCAGCTACAACACCATGCTCGCCATCACCTTCCAACATTCCAGTTAATCTTTGTTCATGTAATTGAATCTTTGGTTTTTGTACCGGTAAGTTGATCATCATCTTCAGTGATCTCTTTAATCTCGTTTTGGGTCATAATTTCCTTGATTCATGTTCTTGTGTTGTTTTATGGTTCCAGATAATGATTGGTATTCTGTTCTTTCTATTCGAGTTCTACGATGACCAGCTTCTTGCATTCCTGGTCTTGACTCTTGTTTGGCTGTGTGAACTTTTTACCATGATCAGGTAATTATATTCCCTAGTTTTGTTTCACAAATGCTATTGCAAATTGATCTTGTATTTGTGCTTCTAGTAAGGTTTACGTTTTTACATCTCTGCTACTTATTTTGTTTATGCTGAAAATTGTCATTTCATCAATATCAGAGTCATGAAAATGATTCTGTATCAAGATAGATTTCCATCCTTGCTCAGTCTTTTGACTAGAATTTGATTGAAGTATAAGTTTTACAAGGTAATAAGCTGAAGCCCTAATTTTGCTGTCCATACATTTTGATTGTTTTGCAGTGTTCGAACTCCGATATCAATGCAGTTCTTTCCTCGCTTCTTCTTGCTCTATTTCTTGGTGTTTCACATCTACTTCTTTTCTTACGCTTACGGTATCCTCCTAAATAGTGATCATTAAGCACATCTCTTTTGCTTGGCCTTCATAGTTTCCCTGGATGAAGAATGCTAAGAAGCTTTTTTTTGTCATATTTGTTCTCCAGGTTTCTCTTATTTGGCCTTTTCAGCAACTGCAGCTTTCATGCAGCACTTGATTCTTTACTTTTGGAACCGCTTTGAGGT